TGTTTGAGAGAGAGGTTTCTTTCTCTCTTTAATTTTCCCGGAAAATCTGGGAACCCTATGAATTTGAGCTGATTTACTTACCCTTTTATTTTTCTCTCTTTTTGTTTAGCTGTCTTCTTGTTGACCTGCAACCCTTAAGGCCTAGTAGTGTCTAGAAGATTGTGATTCGCTGTTTTTTAATAAAGCGATCTGTGAATTTTCTCGAGAGTTTTGCTTGTCTTGTTGTTGATCATGGAGAGATCTGATTCTAGAGATTTCTACAGCTTTACTCGTGCTTCTTCCTCAGGTCAGTCTCTTCTTTTTAGCTCTTTGTGTTTCAGATCGAGTAAGTTTGGTTTCAGTTGGTAAGTTTTCTTTTCTTTTTTTTTTCTTGAATTCGAGATTTTGATTTGCTTTATGAGTAACCAAAGAACTTTTCTTTTTGTACTTTGAACTAAAAGAGGAGGATTTATGCTTTTATTATATGTTCTGTTTAGATTTTTTGGCCTCTGCTTTTAGCTTCTGGTAAATTGATTGCCTTGGGGGGGAACATAACTTGGTTTCTTTTTGTCTGCAGATAATAATAAAAGTACAGTCTTTGACGCATCTCAGTATGAGTTCTTTGGTCAAAGTCTTGAAGAAGTGGAATTGGGAGGTCTTGATGTTGATGATGCTACTACTCTTGTTGGTGGACATGTTGATGATGAAGAGTATCACTTGTTTGATAAAAGAGAGGTATCTGATATGGATGATCTCGCCACAACTTTTGCAAAGGTGGGCATATTATTAATAAGCATGTTTCTGTTGCTATTGTTTATTGATTTCACAAGAAAACGAAATTAGTTCCTCTAATTGAGAGACTTAAGATGATGGTTATAGAGATATCTTATCACTTTCTCAGCTTCTTATTCTTACTTGTTCACTACTATATTGTTGTGCAGCTGAACAGAGTTGTTACCGGGCCAAAACACCCTGGAGTAATTGGTGACAAAGGATCAGGGTCCTTTTCGAGGGAAAGTAAGTTGTTGAATACGTTACTCGGTTTAACCGTATACTCTCGAGATCATTTCTATTTATACAATCACTGGATACTGCACATTTTCTTGTTAGATTACAAGTGAACAAGAAAATGTGCAGATTCAGCGATTGTGTTTTCCTCGATATTGTTCCATTACCAGCTTTCTCTAATAGATCTTCTATATCCAGGTTCTTCTGCTACAGATTGGACACAGGATAATGAGTTCACAAGCTGGTTGGACCAGCACATGCTTGAAGAACAAGCTCAGGAAGCTAACTGGTCTTCACAGCAACAATCATCTGCTAACTCAAAATCTTTGTACAGGACATCCTCTTATCCTCAGCAGCAAACACAGCTGCAGCATTACAGTAGCGAACCGATTATTGTACCAGAATCGTCCTTTACGTCTTTTCCTTCTCCTGGAAACAGAACTCAACAATCTTCACCCAGCCATCTTCATCGTGCTCCTTCTCTTCCTGGTGGTAGTCAGTTGACCTTTTCTGCTCCAAATGCCTCTCCTCTGTCAAATTCTACGTTCCATCTTTCAGGATTGTCACATGGACCACCGCATTATGGTAATAATCTGGCTAGATATGCGTCATGTGGTCCGACTCTTGGTAGCATGGTGCAACCTCCTCACTGGGTTACTGACCCCGGGCTTCTACACGGTGATCATTCCGGGTTATTACATAGTCTGGCGCAACAGCAGCATCTGCAATTGCCTCCTCGGAATGGTTTTACTTCACAACAGTTGATCTCCCTTCAGCAGAGACAGTCTCTAGCTCATCTTGCTGCATTACAATCTCAGCTGTATAGTTCCTATCCTTCGCCATCACATAAAGTTCCTTTCGGGGTTGGTGGTGAAGTAAGGGAACACAAACATAAGTCATCTCACCGAAGTCGAAAGAACAGGGGCATCTCGCAGCAGGCATCGGATTTGGCTAGCCAGAAAAGTGAAAGCGGTTTGCAATTTAGATCAAAGTACATGACTTCAGAAGAGATAGAGAGTATTCTCAAGATGCAGCATTCGAATTCACACAGCAATGACCCTTATGTCAATGATTATTACCACCAAGCTCGGCTTATCAAGAACTCTGCAGGATCTAGAGCGAAGCTTCAGTTCTGTCCTTCTCATTTGAAGGACCACCACTCTCGGTCCCGCAATAGTTCAGATCAGCAACCACAAGTTCATGTGGATGCTCTTGGGAAGATTACACTTCCTTTTATCTCCAGGCCACGAGCCTTACTCGAGGTTGACTCTCCTCCTAGCTCTGGTGATGGAAGGTCTGATCATAAAGGATCCGGAAAGCACCTGGAGGATGAACCTCTTGTTGCAGCTAGGGTCACCATTGAAGATGCTTTTGGAGTTCTTATCGATATAGTTGACATAGATAGGACTCTCCAGTTCAACCGGCCACAAGACGGTGGTGCTCAGCTCAGGAGAAAAAGGCAGATCCTACTAGAAGGATTAGCAACATCACTTCAACTTGTTGATCCCTTCAGCAAAACCGGTCAGAAAGCCGGGTTGACCACCAAGGATGATATCGTCTTTCTACGCATAGCGACTCTTCCCAAGGGTCGTAAGTTGCTCACAAAGTATCTACACCTTCTCACACCAGGTAGCGAGATCGCTCGGGTTGTCTGTATGGCTGTATTCCGCCACCTCAGGTTTCTGTTTGGTGGTCTACCGTCAGACAGCACTGCAGCAGAGACGATAGCGAATCTTGCCAAAGCAGTCACGGTTTGTGTTCAAGCAATGGATCTCCGAGCACTGAGTGCTTGTCTTGCAGCTGTTGTTTGTTCTTCGGAACAGCCACCTCTCCGTCCAATAGGAAGCCCTTCTGGTGATGGAGCATCAGTTGTATTGGTATCTCTTCTCGAGAGAGCGGCTGAAGTAGCAGTAGCGGTGGTTCCACATGGTAACTCGAATGACGGACTCTGGAGAGCCTCGTTTGATGAATTCTTCTCCCTTCTTACAAAATATTGCCGGAGCAAGTATGAGACAATCCATGGTCAGAACCAGGACAATGCAGCTGATGTGTTGGAGCTAGCTATAAAGAGAGAAATGCCTGCTGAGCTTTTACGTGCGAGTCTACGTCATACCAATGAAGACCAGCGTAATTTTTTACTAAACTTTGGTCGTAAAGCATCGCCTATTAGCGAGTCAGCAACCCGTGCAAGGGGTGGTCAGATCAACTCTGAATCTGTGAGGGGTTAAGTTTAACCATATAGAGAAACAAAATGTGAGATCACAACTTGAGTAGCTGGTGTAGAATATCTTTCACATGGCTCAGGTGATGAAAATGTTTTTTTTTTTTCTTTCTTTCTAGATTGTGTGTTTTAGTTCACTTTAAACTTCTTTAAGTTTCCTCCTTATAGTGGAGAAATGATGGTTGGAAGCTGGGGAAATTGGGAGTTGGTTAAACCGGAAAAAAAGGTTGAAATGTTTCCGGTAGAGCTGTATTTTTTTGGTGCTCTGTGATGAAAACTCCTATTTGTAGGACTCATTTAGGGTTTTAGGAGTTTGGAAGGAGACTAGTGTTTGTAACAACTTTGTACAGACTGAATGGT